TGATTGCGCTGAACGAAGATCGAGCTTTTTATGGGTTGCCGTCTGATCGACTATCGCCGGGATTGTATGAGAGTGTGGGGGGCCTTTCCCAGTATACTGTTCGGAGAGTAGCTTCGCTCTGCAACATATGATGATCTGACAGGAAGGTAGAGTGCGGGCAAGCTATGCGTTACAGGAAGCCAAGCGGTATGATTATGATCTGCAACCAAACACATTCTATGCTAACATTCCGTGTGCACCTAGGCGCGTGAAATTGGCCCGATATCGTATAGTCGTCTTATCTTGAGTGCGATCAACGTCGAATGCCTAACCCCTCCAGATTTCCCATCCACGATGGACAAGTGAGGGTAATTATTGGGGTGTGTTACGGATCTCATTTTTCAAGGACTCTACGATCAAGAATATGACTAAATAGTCATCTAACAAGTGCTCGGGGCATGTGATATCCCGGATTGTTGCATATGATGTACTGTCTCGCCTCCGACATTCTATCCATCTAACAATCACTCGCGTCGGTGCAACCTTGCATTCAAGTTCGGTTCAGACGCGGCGACCGGCGAGGTGTATTGTTCTCTGCCAGGCGGGCCGACCGACGGACACTGCGTCTTGTACTAGAGAGTGCTCGTCTGCGGCGCGATGGCACTGACTGCACCGGTAGACGATCTGAACTCGTCTGCTGAGGGCTATCGGTGGTATCCGAACGTTCCACCACTAGAGCTGCGTGTGTCTCCGCGTCTTCACATGCCGGGTCAGGATTCGCCCTCGCTCTCGGTGAGCGGCGCAGAGCATCCAGTGCTCCGTCACTTCGGCTACATCGTGTTAGCTTTCGAATCCACCGGGGAGGCGGGCGAATTGGAACTTACCAGGCACAACAGGACACGTGAGGTCCCGCGTCGCGCTTCTCCAGCCATTCTTCCACACAGCTCAGATGAGCCAATCCCCGGCACTGGTTACAACGCAGGATCACGCTCTCGTCCAGATGCTCTTCGTCGTCTCCTAAACAAAACGGACAATAAATGGCAGACACCTCGTCGCTGAGAGTAAGGCTGTGCAGTTCCAGATTTTGCATCCCCGCCCCGATATAGAACCCCGACAGGGTAGCTGGCTGAGCCGGTGAAATACACCACGGAGCGCTGTTGGTTCGTAACATCGAGGCCGTGACGTATCTGCGGATTCTTTCCGAAGGACCGAGAGGAACTGGGTCACGGACCGGGGATAACGATTCATCCTCATGTTGGGTTGTGACTCTAGAGGAAAGTACCGGTTCTGAAGGGCGCCCAAATGTCGATCGCTGGCTCTGGTCCGCTTCGATATCGGGTGCTACGGCAGCGACCTCGCAGGTGTCTCTTGCATGTTCCCGGCTCCGAACGACCGCCTCATACCACTGCTGACCAAGCTGGTCAGCCTGTCGCTGCCGGTGCCATCTAGCACAGAGAAAGTTCCTCGCGATATCGCATAAGGTGGATCGTAATGTCAAGAAGTCGAATGGCTGCGTGGCGAGATTTGCTAATTGCTGTTGCCCGGCCTTGATGTCTTGGGATTTGATGGAGTTCTTGCACGGCGCACCCGCCTTGGTGGTCCCGCAGCAGATTCGAGCCTCGGTAGCGAGACTGACACCCATCGCATTCGTAAAACGATCCCGATCTTGGGAAGAAGACATAACTTAGTGAGAGGTGGAAATGAGAAACGATTCAAAGGATAGAAATGGGATGGTTGAGGCGGCTGAGATGCCAACCTAGGGTCAAGGTACTGTTTTATACCCATATCGTGACTTCTTATGAAACCATTTGAACATTATTGATCAGCATCACCTCTCGGGTGTAGCTGGCCCGCGCTGTGAAAGAATGTGCCCCTTCCGTAGCAGGCCTTGATCATTCTGAAGTAAATGTAGGTAAGCATTCTAGCTGGTCATGCCCTGCCACCAGTCGCTTGCATGCTTCTTTTCGTCTTAGAAGAGCTCCTAGGATATCCTGGGCTCCCTGGAGCTCACAAGTATGATCCCCGGGGTAGACACACTGTCTCTAGGAACATGCAATTGGCTCTCAGGAGTTGTCTATTTAGAATAGAAGTCTCGAGAAGCCGCGTCCAATATAAAAGTCTCAGAATCCTCCTAGAAAAGCAGTGACAAGTTCGTCTGATCCACAGACTTGCCGTCTTCTACATACTTCTCGCAATCTACAAGAGCTTATCTTCCACGATGGTCTGTTCAATATTGCTGCTGAAATATCTCAATTCTTTTGTGAGGGCATTGGCTAATTTCCTGCAGGCAATCCTCCAAAGCCTACCAAACCAAATTCTCATGCTCGTTGTCACTCAGCTAAACGTTCGTGACATGGTCTCCTTGGGCAAATCATGTTGGAGTCTTTACTGCAAATTGCAGCCCAGCATCCTCAAGTACAACATTCAGCACCAGAACAGCGATCTCCTGCACCTTGCAGCCAGAGACAACGACTATGCTCGGGCCGAGCTCTTGCTTCTTTATGGTGCCAATGCCAACACCTTCCTGCATGGAAAGACTCCGTTGATGAGAGCTATTCAACATGGATCGATAGACGTTCTCGAACTTCTACTCAGTCATAGGACTATTGATCTTCGGATGCAAAATCGAGAGGGAGAAATTGCCTTGACCTACGCCGTCCACTACGGAACCTGTGCAGGCAAGGGAAGGTTGGTCAAGCGGGGCTTGATAACAAATCCGACAGAACACGACCGAACCGTGCCTCCTGTGGCCATTTGCACAGGTCACATTGGATTTCTTCCGTGGCGATGGATTCCGTTCAATGATCTGAGAGTTAAGGGCGGTCGAGGCTATCGACTTAAAGACTGGGTTCGAAGGGCCAAGTCTCAACGGTGATGGAGCTTGATCGTTTTTAATAAACTGTGAACGCCAACGTTTTGAAGGCCACCATTGCACGGGTGAGATTATCTATACTATGTCATGAAGAGATCTACGGCCTATTTAAAGCATTCATGAGAGTCAGATTACACCCAGCAACACGAACACCATGAGCTCTTCGAAACGTCCTTTATCTTCTACTTTCCAGTCCTCCAAAAGACAACATGTACACCGAGAGGCCGACGGCGAGTTGCCGGAGCAAATTCACGATCAATCACCTAAGAAAATCATTTCGGCAGGCGGAAACAAGGTTATAGAGTCTCCCACTTATTATATAACAATACTGATTCGATTCAGGCTCCCGCTCCTTCAGCAAGCCTCACCACGGAGTTTGACTACATATTGCGTTATCACAACTTCCTCGCAGCTCCCATCGTCGGCCTTCTTGACTTATATCTCTGTTTGTGGAAATGCTACGTTGTCGATTCTGCATTGAAGATACGACTTAAGGAAGAGCAACGTCTTCTCCAGAGGTCAATTGAGTAGCTGACCACCGAATGTGATGTACTGCGCCAGTGCTGCAACGATCAGGCTCTAGAGCTGTTTGGCCGCAGGCAAGCTGTGGCTGCCTTAAATGATAGGATTGTCGAGGTTTTGAAGGCGAGCGAGAAACGTGCCTTCAGTGTGATTGAGTTGAAATAGTGTCTCCATAGCACGATAAAAGGAGAATACAAGAAGAGCTCGCTGTTAGTTTCCGTGTCCATTATATGTGTGAATCTCATTCTTTGTGAAACATCCCTCGCTTTTACAGTAGCCAACATCAGCCTAACTTCTGTGTGTAAGTGTCTCACCAAGTCAATGTATAGGCTCTGAAATGTTCCTCCCAGGTCGTACAATCAGCTTCTGTTCCATTCCTACTAAGTCCTTTCGGTTTTCGATATAAATCTAATTCAATATTGCAAAAGTTTACTTATTCCATTTAAACTCAACCCGTAAACGGAGACCTATGTTGGGAAATGTGACTCTTTTTCCACTACCACTATCCATAGTCAGACTCTTCCCCTCGGAACATTTTGCTGCTGATCAAATCTTAATCACACTTTAATGTGCAATAATTGATTTCAGCCACAGGCGATTTCTTCAACAACAATCGCATAGCCGAGGCTTCTCTAAACCCTTGCTGATACAGTCGGTTTATCCGTTAGTTACATCATTTACGCCGACCCCTCGCAATGAAGCGATACTATAGAGACTTTAAAAGTGGAGGAGTCTGTTACAGTTTTATCATCATCATCTTGAATTTCTCAATCTCCTATCAGACAATAATTGTTCCACTGCTGCCATATTCCTTTCACTCCGCATCATCATTCACTGTGCTCTAGGTTAGGACCCCCTCGGAGTACCTATCCCAATCTTTAAGAATATCAGACAGTCGAAGCCGAGATAACTCCAGTGCCTGGTCAAAGAATTGCAACCGAGCAATTTGATCATCGTGACGCGACTGCATTTTGTTCCTCTCGTCGGCCAAATGTCGGTGAGTCTCTCGTAAACCGTGATTCGCTTTGGCCAACTTGCTCCCCTCTATATGCTTTGATATGCATGACTCCCACAAGCGCCGATACAGTCCCACGATTCTCACGGCTTAGAACGAAAGTTTAGGGTCTTCGCGTTCGAGCCGCGCGAGGGCTTCCATAGCAGACTTAAACGGCTGATCCATCAAGGGAGGTCTCTGTGGATCCTCGGGCTGTCCAACGGTGGTCAGCTCAATCATCAAAATAGTCGTGCTTTCCCTACTCACAGCAGGTAGGTCAGAGGGTGGATCGACCGCAATCTGCGGGATGTCTTGATTCTCGGGGGCAGGTTTGCCGGTCGGAGGATAGTCATTTGCGAGTACCGCTCCGCACGAATTTTCGAACTGTTCGAAATTCGCGAATTTCGACGAATCGAATCGAATTCGAACCTTAGTTTTCGAACTTCGAATCTGTACGCGATTCGATTCGTCAAAATTCGCGAATTTCGAACAGGTTCGCGAACTAATTTCTAGCTTTCTTAGCAGAAGCACGCCTTAGAGAGGAGTTTTTGAGGTGTCCGGCCCCGACAAAAAGACTTTAGCAAATGCATAATATCAACCGCATGTATTCCAAAAGAAACCATAACTGCGTAACTATTCAGACTTCCAACGTGCAGCATCTTTCAGCCTTATTAAGGTCCCAAGAGTCTTGCCTTTCATAGAGAAACGTCGAATTCCCAGTACATCTCTCCCGCCATTGAATAATCTCTCTATATCTACCTCCGCTGCTGGTATAGCAAGGTGATCTTGTGCTGCCTTGGCCATACAAGTAAATTCAAGCCTGTTGGCCTTCCACCAGTCCCGTATAAATTCAGTCTGGCTCTGGCTTGTTTCGAAACCAGTGCTGATTGTAGGAGTATCGAAATACTGGTCGATATCTAACTCAGCGACGTTACACTGCGTTGGCTGAAAGGCCTCCAAAAATCGATATTCGAAGCTCTTGTAATTGGTGCTTAGAGCAGTCGATACAGGCTGTTCCGGGGTGTGATATACTTTCTTCAGGAACGCCCTGATTCGGTCGATAATCTTGTCTCCATCTAGTAGCGTTTTGAGCCACTTGGTCTTGATTCGAGGATCCAGAATACTTGCGATATAGTATATATCGTTGTCTTTAACACAGTCGTGGTACCTCTCCAGGAGTGAGATTCCGTCGGAAACAGAAATGGTTATTGCTGCCGAGGTTTTCTGCCACTCGCCTCGTCGTTCCTTAATAGCGAGAAGTATAGAACGGAGCTCTTCAAACATACGCGCCGCCATATGAATTGAAGGACTGTCTCGAGAGACGTACTCAGTATATTCGTTGAAGGGAGTCAGGATTTTTTTGATATCTAAGAGTTGTCTCCAGTCGTCATATATAAGACGCAAGGCTTCAATATCTAGCTCGTCGTTGACCGTATCTTCGAGCTACCAGCGACACTCTTCGGCTCTCTCAATCATAACAAAGGTAGAGTTCCATCGAGTGTCAACATCGTAATTAATAGCTTTTATACAGCCAGGCCGATTATCCCACTTCTGTATTCGCTAGGGAGATCGCGCAATCCAAAGGACAAGTAGTCGAAGCTTTACAATAGGCGAAGTAGGAGCATTAATAGTCTTCCAGCTTCCCTTAGCAACATCATCAAGAAGACTACAGGCTTCCTTATACAAACTCGCGCGTAGAGACCTCAGTATAGATTTCATAACCAAATTCAAGATATAAGCAAAGCAGCGGATTTAGGAGTTCTGGGTAAACTTCATCATCCCTTCTCGGATAATAGTCTCAGCCAGGTACTTATCATACCGCTAAGACAGCTTTTGGTAGAGGCACCGGTGTAGGGTGTCATTATTAGATACGTTGTCGGCTGTAATTGTCATCACTTTATCAGATATATAAAACCTGTCGAGAACCGTCGCGACGATATCAGCAAGCTTCTCTCCAGAGTGGTTGCCTTCGATTTCAACGAACTCAATACAGGCTCGATATTGCTGAAAATCAGGGGACATCCAGTAGGCATTAATTGCTAGCATTGGTAACGAGTTCTGACTTGTCCAACCATCAAGAGATAGCGCGATTGACGAAGCTAAAGACATCAAAATTCGAAGCTCACTGTCAAGAGCATCAAGCCGAAGACCTAATCGGCGGGACACTGTATCCGCACTCGGTAAGGAGTCCTAAAAGCCTGCGGACCTTAACATAGCCTTAAATAAAGGGTGTTCGACACATATAAACGGCTAGCAGGTCGATATAATCCAATTTAGGAGTGCCTCTTCGAAGGGGAGCTTCTTTTCCTTAGAAATCCATAAGCTTAGTGGTCCTTGGCCTTCTGAATGACCGTCCTGAAAGAGCTTGTGTGCTTGCTGCAGATACTGTTTCAACGCTGTAGTTAAAGATCGTAGTTTAGATACAAATCGAAAGAATCGACAGGTAGATAGCGATACAATACACAGGTGTTTAAGTTCGAGCCGCTCCTTATTTCCTAATCTCCAAGTGCCAGGTTCAGGTGTTATACTGTAGTATTTCCATACCCAGCTCCGCTCCTTCGACTTAATCTCATCATTCTGCTTAATTTCAACCCTCTCAACCTCGCATTCGACCTGAGATATTAATTGCGAAGGGCATATCTCCGTATCAAGGTTCGATAAACTCCTAGAAACATTGCTAGGAGCCGTAGGAGAAGTTGAAATCGGAGGAGTCGGTGACTTAGGGGCGCGTTGGGCCGCTCTCTTCCTTCGAGGGGGTAGGAGTGATATATCCTCTGCGAGGAGGCCATATTTATTAAGCGCCGCATAATCGCGTTTATTCTTCCTAGTATTAGGACAGCCGAATGTCATAGGAAGTGGAGAAGTCATCTTTACATAATATTAGTATATCAAGATTGTGTCTTGATTGATCGCTTACTTTAGAGCACCCAGAAGTGATAGTTTTCAGTAGCGTTTAACCACGATTCGGATGTTGTTCTGGATAAAAGTATGTACGCGTCTCCACGCGTCCTAGTGGAATCTCCGCTAGCCCGATTAGACTGTCCATTTGCTCTACATTGAATAAAATATGCAACTATAGATATCTTCCCTCTATATTAATAGGTTACGTATATCTCAATACGATCTATGGGATAATTTAATTTGAAGCAAAACGGACAAGAAATAAGGTTATGGTCTTATTGACTAAATTAGAACTAAAAATTATATATTATTTGCATGGAGGTTATTGCCAAACACTCGCGTCTATTGATACTGCCCTATAACTCTCTTCATTCGAGGTCAAATTGTTTAATTTTTATGTAATAGACAAACCCTAGCTTATCTATTTCTGTATCTGTTGATTATTTAACTAGTTAACTCAATAACAGCCATTTATTACACTTCATGTGGCGTCGATTGATGGCATGGCGTGGAACTGCAGACACTGCCAGTCCTCATTTACCGCCTTCCCAATGAGGCTTTGGTCCCAAAAGTTCGCGAACTTCGAATCGAATTCGAATCGGCCGTGAATTCGAATTCGTACGAATCGATCTGTTCAATAATAATTCGAATCGAATCGAATCAGGCAAAAGTTCGATTCGATTCGATTCGTGCGGAGCGGTATTTGCGAGCTGATCCTCCGGATGGTCTTCGACAGGTCGGGCATAGGAAGCGTCCATGTTGGGCCTCGCTTGATCATGGAAGATGCTTTAGATGCTTCGCGACGTTGCACGAGAATTTATATATTTTCGATGTACGTTTCAGTGAACTGAAATAGAAATTGCTCCAAAATAATGACCGCACATGCAATTAAGCGTAATATTAGGGTGGTCAAACGTTGATAGTCTGAATCAACGGACTAATTCCCCGGTGAAACGATCACCTTCCCCGCTCATGCTCACGCAGCTACGCATGAATGAGGCCAGTTGAATCAGATTCTGTACACAGTTGAAGGTTTTAGGAAAGCCGATCTACTTGCAACAGCTGCACGTCCCGCCAGGGATGAGCCTGGTTCACCGCCTCAACGTTTCACCACTTCCGTTTATCAACGCAGCGTCAACACCATCCTCACCATCCTCACCGTCCTCACCGTCCTCACCATCCTCACTGTCCTCACCATCCTCACCATCAACACCGTCAACACCGTCCTCACCGTCCTCACCATCCTCACTGTCCTCACCGTCAACACCGTCAACACCGTCAACACCGTCAACACCGTCAACAAGCATCTCAATATCCGTGAATTACATGGGAGACACCGGCATGAACAGATGCTTCTAATACTGACGTGCCGCCTGTGATCCTATTGTCTCTATTCGCTAAGACAATACTGTATGTATGCTCTTTCTTCCCGTGTGGTTTGAGGGTTTCCACGTAGTGCCATCCTTAAATTGGAATTTCAGTGATGGAGCTCACAAGATCTATCTCTACATTAGGACAAGTCAGAATCGAGAATTTGTCTTCATTGCAATGCTATCGATTTCCCCCATGGTTCGGGCTACATGGTCCGGGCTACATAATGTACCCAGAGATGAGTCGTGCAGGTCTTGGCTTCTTCAAGGGCCGCAGCAACACTTGAATACTGGTCCCTAGCACCACGGAGAGGTGCCTGCATGTCGCTAGAGGATCATGGTGTAGACCCTGGCCCCAGGTCCTACCCGATCGAGCACACGTTTACAAACACAGGGCTCATGGTCTGTGAGGGAGGATGTTGGTAAAGCAGGCCTCAAGCTACGAGGATTTTGTTATCACAGATCCTAGACTGCGGAGTTCACTTCGTGACGCAGCGCCCCCCTGCGAGGATTTTGTCATCACAGTTCCTATCTGCGGAGTTCACTTCGTGACGCAGCGCCCCCCTGCGGAAGTCCTTAGTTGCGCAGCTTTTCCCCTGCGGAAGTCCTTAGTTGCGCAGCTTTTCCCCTGCGAAGTCCCTTGGTTACGCAGCTCTTCCCTGCGAAGTCCCTTGGTTGCGCAGCTCTTCCCTGCGGAGGTCCTTGTTTGCGCAGCGCTCCCCTGCGAAGTCCCTTAGTTGCGCAGCTCTTCCCTGCGGAGGTCCTTGTTTGCGCAGCGCTCCCCTGCGAAGTCCCTTAGTTGCGCAGCTCTTCCCTGCGGAGGTCCTTGTTTGCGCAGCGCTCCCTGCGAAGTCCCTTGGTTGCGCAGCTCTTCCCTGCAGAGGTCCTTGGTTGCGCAGCGCTCCCCTGCGAAGTCCCTTGGTTGCGCAGCTCTTCCCTGCGGAGGTCCTTGGTTGCGCAGCGCTCCCTGCGAAGTTCCTTGGTTGCGCAGCTCTTCCCTGCGGAGGTCCTTGGTTGTGCAGCGCTCCCCTGCGAAGTCCCTTGGTATCGCAGCTCTTCCCTGCGGAGTCGCTTGTTCTCGCAGTCGTCTTCTGCGGAGGCCCTTAGTGTCGCAGTTCTCCCCTGCGGAGTCGCTTGTTGTCGCAGTCGTCTTCTGCGGAGGTCCTTGTTTTCGCAGCTCACCCCTGCGGAGTCGCTTGTTGTCGCAGTCGTCTTCTGCGGAGGTCCTTGTTTTCGCAGCTCTCCCCTGCGGATTCCCCTGATAATGCAGAGCATATCCTCCGAGAGGACGTGTCCCCTACTTCACTGGGCTCATGACAGTGAATGCTAAGACCAAAAAGATTTGAAGTCTGCGGGCAGACAAGACCGTGCCGTCTCAGAGGATAAGGATCGAAGTCCTGACTTTCTAGGCCGGTCGTGGAGCGTCCTTTTATGTCTTTTCGCCTCCGGCTGCCCATATCTGCCAACTGTGCAGATTTAATAAGAGAGATGATAGACTATACTGTAATTCCGCTGAAAATATTTCATTTTTGCGGCCAGTTAAGGTGATTCAACATCTGTTGAAGTATGCGATCTAGAGTTAGCGGCCAATCTCGTCAAGCGCCCCACTTCGAACCGTGGCGTGCATGAATCTAGACGGGGCCACCCATAGAACTATATCTTAGCGGTTGTATCTTATATTCAAGATATTTACTGTGAACCACCTTCAACGGTCGTTGAAAAGCGCGTTCAACCGATCGTTAAGCAACATCGGTTGCGTTTGAACTGGCAAGAGGAAGATTCTCCCGGTTACGTGGCCAGCTTAGACGACTATACAGCTACTTACACTCCAATTGTGAATTTAGGGTCCTCTCCTCTTTATAACTGTTAATAGTATATGCTACTTTTCTTAGCGCATCTTACCTGACTGTCTGGCTTGCTAAAAGATCAAATTTTCAAACAGTCCACTAGAGCAGGTCATCTGTCCCTTCTACTACGGGCGCTAGGACAGAACGATACCGAAGATAACGAGGCGACATCGAAGACGAGAATTGCCAGGCAGCAAATACGTCAAGAGGATGTCGCAGCCTAACCAGGGCATAACTTTTGTATCAGACATCTCCGCTCGCCCGCGTACGTTCAAGACCGGAAACCACAAGGTGAGTACGGACACAGCTCCTACTTCAACCTAGACGCTCTCTAACACACTTCGTATAGAATGCTTCGATGTCTCGCCCGGTCCCTGCAAGAAACCCGTATCCGGTGAGAACAAACTCGGATAATGCCAAATCCTTTCGACTAACTGGTTGACCAAGAGTTCTCTACGCACTATTCTAGTGTCGGGATACCAAAGGGCTAGGTTCCATTTTAGGCACAGCAAATCATTCCTCAACCAATACAGCGATTTCTCGAATATCATGCGTTCTAGTATAGCGAGCGGTATTTCCCCAGAGCCATTACAGCTGCACGAGCTGTATCATCCTGATAATCGACTCTGAAGCAGACAGCACGCGGGGTGTTCAGGTCCAGCTGCCAGTAATATTTAGGGCTAGCGACATTTCATACGGGCTGTCCGCCACATAGTACTATAGGTCACCGTCTCGTATAAGACCAATAATCGCTTTGGAGATGATCCACACAGCCATTTATTTTGTTCAATGTATGTGTCGTCCCTCTTGCACCAGAGTCTCCGGCGTCTTAGAAAAACTTCCGGGTCGTGCTTCCAGAGCCAACGCGAAAGTCTGTCATTTTTCGTCAACAAGGGAATTGTTTAGCCCTGTCGAACGGAAAACGTGCCTAATTATTTGTTACTCCCCCTCCAATACGTTGTCAGCATCTGTCAAAAATATTCTTTAGATTCTTTTGCTTGCAGAATGACTTTCCCTGTGATGTACGACAATTTCTAGAAAAAATACTTAGCCATTTGGCTGAGGCGTGTCTCGAGGCTTGCAGTCACCTGGGACACATCTTGCAGTCAATTCACCTGTCGGGACATATCCTCCCGTTGGAATAAGCAAAGACATGTTGTACGTAATCCTGCTAAGCTGCGGCTCCCGCCGTATGGATTCAGGGGTATTGGACCTTGACCTGGGACATACATCTATATACACGAATCAATCAACTTTTGCTTACAAGCATAAACTGTCCACTTAACTGTGTACACAGTACCTAGCTGGTGATACCAACACTGATCAGTGGTTGATTACAACCACAGAACAGCTCGGTTTACACGACCTGGAAGAGGCATTGACCGCAAGGGAACGGGGAAACGGTTGCAGTACCCTCATTGCGGAAGGTGTGCTAAAGGATATCAAAGTATCTCACTGGGAAACGGATGCAGTACCTTTGAGACACGGAGGATTTCCAAAAGATCTACAGTTGAAACCGCAACGAAGATCTGCGTCTACCACGCGAACAACGCGTTAACGGGAAACGGCTTGCAGTACCGTCACGACACGCAACCCAACACACTCATCCCCTCGATCGACTCTATCCACGTCTTCACCGGAACGACCATCATGCTGCCGATCCCGGACAACCTCGCGTACCCTATCGAGGAGAAGACATGGGGGAAATCCGTCGATACACTCGATGAGAAGAACCAGACGGAAGGAATACTAAACGGCCATATAACTTGTGTATTGCGGGCATGGAAAATGATGGGCATTACCGACCGTGCCCTATGGAACGATTTTCGCGAAGAATTCGATGGATGGACTCTGGACACATTCAAGGTGGCAAGCAAAACCGCATTGAAGATGATTCGAATCCACCTGACTACACACGGAGTATGGATCAAGATAGCCATCGGTGTATCATACGCGAAGGGATTGTATGACTGTCTCCAGGAGGACACTCAACACGAATGGACCAAAGAAGACATCGAGGCCCATCTGAAGGAGCACCCGGACAACTTCAACTCTAGATGGAACCCTGCGCGCGATCAATCACCAACCATCCGACCAAATGCCTCGGCGGCACGAGCTACTTTGGTGAACCTACCAAATCCTCAAACCCCACGAACGAATGTTGAGAAACCACATATCGAACGAAGCGACCAGAGATGGGAAGAAGCCAGATCCGTCACGCTCGATACAGCCTATATGGACAATCGCATACAGCAACAATCCGATTACGGTAGATTCCAACAAAATTCCTCGGACATGTCGTTACCGAGAATGATTGAAGCAGTAACGAGGCAGTACAGCAACGCGGACGACAAGTATAGCGGAGGACTGTATGATGACTTCAACACAAAGTTAGTCAAGTTCTACGACGTCTGTGAAAAGATCGGCCTACAGGAGCATCAGTTCCACATCGCATTCTCGCTTATGCTTAAGGGGAGAGCGGAGAAATTTTATTTCACACGGATCAAGGGAAAGGCAAGAGATTTTCCGACAATGGTGGAGATGTTGAGGGCACACTTCGACACAGAGGAAAACCGTCAAAGATCTATCACTGAGTGGAGAGAGACCACACTCCCAAGGACCATTGCTCAAAACCCTGAGAAGTCACGCTCAGATTGCCTCGAAATGCTCTTTGATACACTGGAAAAGATCCAGCCAGGATTACCACCAGAATACCGGTCGGAGACGACACTGCGGGAACAAACTATCAATGCTTGCAGAGGTGTCGAGGAATGCAAGTTCTCCTTATATAGGCCGGCGAGCACCCTAGAGGGGGTACAAGCAGAACTACGATCCGCCGTTGCCAATGCGATCTTTCCACCTCATGCGGGGCAATTTCACGCTTATGAGGAGTACGACGTGCTCGACCAGCATTGGACTGACCGCACATACGGAGGGAGAGGCCGTGGCCGCGGAAGTTATAGCCAGCACAGAGGAAGCAATGGATACGGTAACAACCGTGGACTCACTCCCTTTCGTGGATCAGGGCCGCGAGGAAGCTACCGTGGGAGTCGACGGGGCCATCAAGGGTCCCGCCAGGGGAGATGCTACGTCTGCGGAAGGCCAGGATGCTGGTCGAAGTATCATACCGGGGAGGAACGAAGACAATCACTCGATAACTTCCGCCAGCAACACTACTTCACCACGGGCCAAGCGGCCACCCCGCAGGATTTCCAGACGTTCCTTAGTGACTTTGAAGGAGAAGAGGAGACAGAAGTGCTAGACAGCAGCGACAGGCATGAATCAACCCTGATGCTCGCAGACATGACTATCGAGGATGACGAGCACGAGGGGTTCTTCACAGAGCTCGGAGAAGTCGACGGGATTAGAATGATATCCATCCTAAACGACCAGTCAGCGTACCACTTTTTCACTAAAGACGATATTTTCCAGCAGCGACAAGCCAACGGACAGGCCATTGAAGTGTTCACACTCGACAACCGGTATTCAGCTGACACCTTCCAAGGCATTATGCCAGATACTGGAGCCTCTGGAGTTTCGTCTGCGGGTGAACCTCAATTCAAGGCATTGTGCAAGTTAGACCCCAAAGTCAGACTCAATACCTCCCGGGCTGGGGAACATAAGATCAAATTTGGAGACGGAGACCCAAAAGTCTCCTTAGGCACTGCCGATGTCGATACCCCAATTGGCTCTATTACCTTTCACATCCTTCCCACGAACACACCATTTCTCTTCTGCCTCAAGGACATGGACGCTATGGGAGTGGAGCTACGAAATAAGAAAAATGTGCTCGAGCGAGGAGACAAGAGAGTACCCATTGTACGTAAATGGGGACACCCATGGATGTTGCTGCACAATCTGGAGGAGGCAGCAGCATGGAGCCACCTTACCGAATCAGAGCTACGACAACTCCACCGGCGTTTCGGACACCCGTCGGTACATAGATTGACCCGAATCCTACAACGCGCCGGGCACGAGGTGAATTCGCAGTGCATCGACTACCTCACGAAATTCTGCCACCATTGCCAGATGAAAGGTAGATCTCCAGGACGATTCAAATTCACTTTGAAAGATGACTATGAGTTCAATTACTCGGTCATCGTCGATATCCTGTATCTGGAAGGAAAGCCCGTTTTGCAAGTTATCGATGCAGCCACGTCATTTAGTGCTGCGAGATTCCTGAGAGACATGTCGGCACGTAATGCCTGGGACGCACTTCGTGCATGCTAGATCGATACCTACCAGGGACCCCCGGACTACGTTATACACGATGCGGGGAAGAACTTCACATCTACCGAGTTCAAGCAGCTTGCATCGTCGATGTCGATCAAGGTGAAGGAGGTCCCCGTGGAAGCCCATAATAGCGTCGGGAAAGTGGAACGATACCATGCACCACTGCGCCGTGCCTACGAAATTCTCAGGGAAGAGCTCAAGAACGAGAACATTGACAGGGAGATGATCCTGCAGATGGCTGTGAAAGCTGTTAACGACTCAGCCGGACCAGATGGAATTGTCCCAACGTTGCTTGTCTTCGGGGCATACCCGAGAATGACCGAAATAGACCCACCATCACCTTCGGTAGTCAAGAGAGCTAAGGCTATCCGTGCTGCAACCAAAGAGGTCCGACGCCTGCATGCAGAGCGCCAGGTGAATGACGCGCTTGCTATGCGCAACGGCCCGAATATTACCACCACGTTGGACCTACCTTTGCAGTCAGATGTTCGAGTCTGGCGCGAGAAAGGCGGATGGAAGGGCCCATACAAGCTCTTAGCGATGGATGGAGAAATTTGCACCGTGGATATGCCATATGGTCCTACGAAATTCCGATCAACTGTTGTCAAGCCCTACCACAGAGAAGAACTCCCAGAGGGAGAGGGAGGGCAACGTCGGATTAGGGCAGAGGACGACCAAGTGGATAGGACTGTCGATTCGGAACCAGTCAACGAGCCCGATAAACCAGTCGAAATCCAACGACGAGGTCGAGGACGACCACCCGGATCGAAAAATAAACCGAAGCCGCAGACAACCGTGCGGCGGAGCACCCGAGGAAATCCTACTCATCATCAAGACCTCGAGGATCAATTCATCAATACTATCTGGGAAGGACAAGACGTTGCAATGGCACTTATGACGAACAAAGAACGAGCCGATATGGAACTGTCCATTAAGTTGAGGAATGACGGTGTCATCACGACCCCTGGATTGCCATTTGATCAATCTCGGAACGAGGAGATCGAAGGGCTAATAGCCAGAGGCGTGTTCGACTTCGTACGATACGACCCAGTCAAGCAACGCTGGTATACGCATCTTCAATTCCCGTTTGGTCAATGAAATCAAGGGCAAAGCCACGGGTACGCCTTTCGAGAAGTCACGACTCGTTATCCAGGCCTACAATGACGAAGGGAAAGGGATGATTCTTACCCAATCCCCGACGATCCAACGAGCCAGCCAAAGGGTCATCGTCGCACTGGCCCCGTCACTGAGCGAAAAGAACATCAGCCTATCGATCCGGGACATTACACAGGCATATGTCCAGTCAACAACCTCATTGAACCGACTGATTCTGGCGCACTTACCCAAGGAGATCAAGAGCAAGTTCTCAGCCGGCACGATCATGGTAGTGCGGAAGCCGTTATACGGGATCCCTGAAGCCGGAACCCATTGGTGGGCGACGTACCACAAGCACCACCGGGAAAAGCTCGAGATGGTCACATCTACTTACGACCCATGCCTGTTGATTTCGACAGCAAAGGAAGCTTTCGGTGTTGTCGGAATGCAAACCGATGACACTCTGATTTTGGGGTCCGACGAGTTCGCCAAGCTCGAGGCGAAGGAATTGGCAGAAGCAAAGTTCAGCGCTAAACCTAAGGATACACTATCTCCAGAGAACCCGCTGATATTCAATGGCTGTGTCCTGACACAGAAGGAAGGAGACGTTGCCGTTGAATTACGCCAGAAGGAGCAGGGTAAGAAGCTCAAGCTCATCGACCACAAATCCAAGGACCTCAAGCAAGCATACATGGAACAACGTGCTCGCGGAGCTTACATTGCGACGATCTGCCAGCCGGAAGCTGCATTCGACCTATCCGTTGCCGCCCAACACCAGGATCCTACGGAAGCCGACGTCAACGCGTTGAACAAACGCATCAAGTGGCAAATGAAGAACCTGGACAGGGGCATCAGATACATCGCGATAGATCTCTCAACTGCAAAGCTCTTCGTATTTGTCGATGGCTCATTCGCAAACAACAAAGATTTCAGCTCCCAGATTGGATATGAGATTATTCTCGCAAACGAGTCCACACAGGATGAGGAATTTGAGATCACCGGAAACCTGATCCATTGGAGCTCAACCAAGAGCAAACGAGTCACCAGAAGCGTCCTAGCATCGGAGATCTATGGGATGGTAGGAGGTGTCGACATGGCAATTGCAATCGGCACAACAGTCAAGATGATCATGGACCAACTCGGCTTTGGGAAGATCCCTACCATCGTATGCACGGACTCATACTCTCTTTACGAATGCCTCGTCAAGCTCGGAACCACCAAGGAGAAGCGCCTCATGATCGACATCATGGCACTTCGCCAGTCATACGAGCGAAGAGAGATAATGGAGATAAGGTGGATCAACGGGAGCGACAACCCTGCAGATGCAATGACCAAAGCAGACCCCAACAAGGCCTTGGAGAAGTTCATCAACACCAATAACTTGCGAGTGCGAGTTGAGGGATGGGTGGAGAGAAAATAGAATGGTATAGCGAGATCTACGTGGGCAACGAGGCACAGTACGATTGATCGTTTCTTTTTGATCGTTTCTTTTGATCGTTTCTTTTGATCGTTTCTTTTGATTGTTTGTTTTTGATCGTTCTCTTTTGTTCGTTCGATTTGATCATTCATTTCTTACTTGAGGGCACTGGCCTTTGCACAAAAGAAAAGTTGCCAGTGTCGGGACATATCCTCCCGTTGGAATAAGCAAAGACATGTTGTACGTAATCCTGCTAAGCTGCGGCTCCCGCCGTATGGATTCAGGGGTATTGGACCTTGACCTGGGACATACATCTATATACACGAATCAATCAACTTTTGCTTACAAGCATAAACTGTCCACTTAACTGTGTACACAGTACCTAGCTGGTGATACCAACATCACCTTTACGGTATTATTTGAAACGGGCTGTCTGTTGTCGCCACCCTACCATCTCACACGGGTAATTGAAGGTTCCCACAAAGGTCCCACCCGATTCTTAGACGGGCGAGGATTGCGTAGGCATGTTGCTGGGTGTCATAGGAGGGCGTCTTGTTAACATATGACACGAATGGCTGTCTCCATCACTATTGTATTGATAGCTGAACCTTGAGGTTAAACGTTTACGGTTATACTCAGGTAGTGAACGTCGAAGAACGTTAGTAATTCAGCGCGGACGACCTCACGTTGACATTCCCACTATCCATAACCATGCTGGCCCACTTATAACTCAAATCTCCACTTCGGTCAATCCAAGGAAATGTAACAGTGGTAATAATACTTTTCGGAGAGAAATCCAGAACTTCTCCCCACATATTTTCATTCAGCGATTGAACTCTTGCCCCTAGAATTCCTCCTCGACGATTCATCACCCTCAACCTCATCGAATTCCGCTGTCTCCCTTTCCCAAATTCTCCAATGGCGCAGCAAGACAAGAAAACCCCCGAATATCGTCCTAGCAAAGCCTTCACAGAATACAAAAAATGGTATAAGAGTTTGGAGGGAGGCTCCGGTTCCTCAGAACATACAAGCTCCTCGGAAAATGCGAAGTTATCTCGTACAAAGCCGGTGGCTTTACCATCGGAACGCGCTCGCGCATTACTTAAGAGCAGACGCTCTCGTAAGATTCGATTCGAACTTATGCCAGGAGACAAACCAGCGGATCCCACGCAACAGCATCATAAGGAGCGATTACAACCAATACTAAAACAGTAAGTGCTCCCTCCCTCCGCCCTTTGTGCCCAATATTATCTCTTCTCAGGCCCTCTTTCGGCTTAAAGTTACATATGTATTAAGCAGAATCAATCATTGATTTGGAAACTTGTTAATATGCCTTAAGAGCTTCACAACCAGAGATATAAGTTTAGCTAATCATAGCGCAGGTCGATAGAAAGGCAGGCCGCGGTGTGCGGACAACACATTCATCGCGAAGAAAACTCTCGAAGCATAAAGAAAGTCATCAGAGATATCGAAATTCTCTAGAAAGAGATGAAGCGCCTCCAGAAGGCACAGGCGTCGATGCGATCCCGACAGAGGGAAGGAGGCACTAACAAGCGAGAATAAGCTAGTGCTAGGGGTCGACTGACTGCGAGTTTCTTTGGCTGTGGAGAGGAGGTCAGCGTATTCCGGCGGTCGCGTTGCCCCGCAAGCGTCCCCAAATTGTGACGCGAGCCTAGGCATTGTTATCCATAAACTTTCAATCATATATCCGTACTTGAAATTGTCATTGTTTATTTTGTGAAGTTTATCTTGTCTGTCCACGACCAGTCTAGGACCCTTTGAGCTTTGTTAAGACATAAGACAGGATCGGAGGAGCAATGGCCACAGCCAGCAAATTGAAGATATTGAAGATCCATATGATAGGTCTGTTAACATAAACAGCCTTTCAATCCTTGACATTACAGTCCAACTTTCATGATATCGCGAGGAACTTTCTTTGTGCCCATGACACCGGCAGCGACAGGCCAACCAGCTAGGTCAGCCGTAATATGGAGCTGTCTTCCGTGACCGCCAACATGCCGGTCACCCCTCCCGGGTTGCTGCTGAAGCACCTTACATTGAAGCAGACCATAGCTGGCTATCAACATTTGGGTGCCCTTGAAAAAAATTAGTAATCAGCGTCACACCTCCGCGCCATGGTGAACAAGGAACAGCGCTCCATGCTGCATCTCACCGGCTTAACCAGCTGCCCTATTGGGATATAATATCGGGCAAGGGATTCAAGACCTGGAACTACATAGCCTCGGTCTCAGCGACGAGGCCTGCCATCTACGGTCGGTTTTGTTTAGAAGGCGATGAAGAGCGGGTGGACGAGAGTGCGGTCCTGTAATGTAACCAGTGCTGGGGATTAGTACAACTGAGCTGTGTGAAAGAATGGCTGGAGGAGCGCGATGGGGGATCTTACGTATCCTGCTGTGTCTGGTTAGTTCTAATTAGCTTCCCAGTGGATTTAAGTGCTCACACAATGTAGCCGAAGGGACGAAGATCTAGATGCCCTGCTCCGCTCACCGAGAGCGAGGGCAAATCCTAACCCAACACGTAAAGACACGCACGCAGCTCCAGTAGTAGAGCGTACGGATACCACTGATAGCAATCGGCAGATAAGTTCAGGTCGTCTACCGGTGCATTCAGTGTCACCGTGCCGCAGACGAGCACTCCCTAGCACAAGATGCAGTGACCTTCGGCCAGGTCGTCTGGCCGATAACAATAGTTCGTCTCGCCGGTTACCGCGTCTGAACCGAACGTAAACGCAAGGGTATTACCCCGACGTAGGCGACTGCGGTATAAACAGAATGCGGGAGGTGAGACTGTACATTAGATACAAAGATACGGGATATCACATACCCCTAGCACTTCTTAGATAAGTATTTACTCATATCCTCGAGAATTAAGACCCGTAACATACCCCAAAAATTACCCTCACCGTGTTCACCGTAGATAAGGAGTCTCGCGGGGGTAGGTATTCCACATTTAATCGCATCCAAGATAAGGTGACTACACCAAATCGAAGCAATCTCAGGCGCCTGCATATACATAGAGTGTTAGCATAGAACGTGCTGGGTTCCATAGCAATGATCATACCGCTTGTCTTCCGGTAACGTGGGGGTCGCCCGCGCTGTACGTTCCTGTCAGATCATCATATACTACAGAATGCAGAGCGAACCACTTTCCGAATGGTCTACTGGAAAGATTTTCCACACTCGCATACAACCATAGCGATAGTCAATCAGACGGCACTCCATAAAAAAGTCGATCTGCAATCATAGTACAATATGTCGATGTGTGCGACAGACCGGTAAAGAGGCACATTCGGTGTGTCTGACGAGCGAACTGCTGGCGGCAGCCACAGGGCACCACGTCGTTAGGGAGGGCTGTACCAAAGGGGTCAGCGTTGTTCCATGGATGATTAATGACCACTTACCTGCTTTCTCATGGAGAAGCGCCGTCTCAGTGTTCGCGGCGTTCGGGTCGGCGAGGTTGTTCGGAGACCAGGGCCGGTAGAACGACCGGTGGTGCGTACAAGCAAAGTCCAACCATCGGCAATGTATATTAAGCATATCCTTTCCCTTATCAAAGTATACGTCGACTTTCCGGTCGAGCCTTCGACGTAGGCAACCTGAATATGGTCGGTGAATTTCAGCAGAGCAAAGCAGGCTCGCAACGCTCGGTCGACTGCTCTCGCGAATGTTGTAGGCGGGAGGGTGCAGGGCTTTGCATCCTTAAACAGCTCTTACAGCTGCTCTTCGACGGTCCGGGTAGGGCAGTGGGCACACAGCATATGCCACACAGCCTGTCCGGCAGGCGTGCCTGGCGCTTGCCGAGGCTATCCCGGATTGTGTTCGTAGTCTATCTACATCAGTTATCAAAATGCGACACAGTCTATACCCAAGCACATACCTAATCATTACATCTCTAGCATCTCTAGGCGCTATAGGGCTTCGAGTTTCGAAACAAATGAGCCGCATCACTACTTGGTTACATCAGTCATTCTCCGAGCTCAGAAGTCCGGGAGGTGCCATAAAAGGTACCACTGCCTTGCCATCTCTTTCCAAAAACGCGTCATCTCTAGCAGTATCGAGCCGATACTAGTCTTGCTAGAGCCGTCCAAAGAGGGAAAGATGCATCTCTCCAGGTGGTTGTTGATTTCTGAGCCACATTGGTGCACCTTATTTCCTCATTAAGGAACATCCCGCTACTCTCCATCACGTAACACATAAGCACAACCTCGATCCTGCCGAAGACAAGGTGATTCTGAGCTTCAAAATATGCACACCTATTTTATTGCCGAGCAGAAAAGCGCAGAGAATTCTGTGTTCAGTGATATCGATTTCACCCGAAAAATGGTTCTAGGTAGCTGTAGGAAGCTATAAAGAGGAAGCCATAATAGTGCAAAAGCTAGGTGTCCGGAGGGAAGCGAACACGGGGCGGACTCGAGAAACTTCTGATGCTTATGGCCATATCACGTTAGATATATCGGAGGATATTCTGCAAAACAATCGCGTTCATCGGCTTCGTCCCCTCCGAACTTCGTTCAATAGGCCGTCTAAACGTGCCTCTTCGCATTCGCTCTCCGCGAGGACCTCCTTCAACCCGACACCCCAGCAGGCGGCGGTATACTGCAACATCATAAAGCAAAATTTGCGGGTCCCTGTCATCGGTTTCGACTTTGGCAAAACGTAAGAAAGCCTAACCCCTTCCCGACCGCAAATAGCAGAACAAAAGAAGTCTATGCTTGCCTTCGGATGCTTATTATCCAGGCGGATAAGTAGTCGTTAGCGCCTGGGAAGTATAGCGTAGAGGTGCAAACTTCGCTGTTATTTCGGAGGTTGCGTCGTCTCCACCGAGTTCCTACGACATCTTCGTGTCCATCTCCATAGCTGCGTATAATTCTATAGTTCCCAATTCCATGCCATCCACAGCTCGTTCGTTTTGACCACTTCTACCGAGCTCAGCATACTTCACTAACTTTGATCTAGAGAATATCACCGTCCTGATCGTCGATAACGCGACGTGACGCCACGTGCTTCCGTCCACCTGCCATTTCAACGACCCCAGTTTCAGCCTTCTTGAACATTATATCGCACAGCCATATGTCTCACCTAGACAAGCAGCTCTAGGCGCGGTCAACCAGCGTTGCAGCTGATGCACAGCGATGCGTCATCGACACAAGGGCCTTAACTGACCTGATCGGGCACATTTCCACGCTATATATTAGCTCTTAAGCGATAAAGAACCACTGTCTACTAAGAGGTCTGTCGTAGTTTCCCCAGGCGCCTTACCTGAATACCAAGAAGAGTGAGCACTCAGAGGCAGGACCAAATCTCTTACTATACCGGACAGAGTTATAGAGGCAGGCTGCAAGGGCTCATTGTGCCTCTATCCTGCGGTCCATTCCTTCAACTATCCTCGTAGTCACTTTTATAGATAAACTTAGGCCCCCGTAGACCGCTGACTGTGCTGTCGATAAGACAAACGCCGGTATATCATAATCTTGAAAGTCGGGAAAAGAGGGTAGCCTTCTGAGTCCGTCAGGCATACGTGCTGTAAAAGAATTCCTTATCTGCTAACTCGCGCAGTAAGTATTGCCAGATCCGAAGCGCCGCCGGTAGCTCTCAAAGAGGGCCTATCATCTCGGCGTCGGCGGAACGGGCGTGCCTCCGCAGGAGATCGACAAGTAGAGGCAAGATAGGCGTCTTCCTGCTTACGTAGAGCTTCCTCCTATATCTGTTGTACTTAGCGAGCCGCATCCCGCCAGGATACCAGTCTGCTACGGTCGCGGCAGGTAGTCGAATAGGCGAACTTATACGCGAAGAGGAATGCGCCACCCACGGTGGAATTAGTCAAGGTAATCCCATTGTGATACAGCTAACCTCGAAGCTAGGGATCAAGAATCAAGTCGCCGTATAGTGTGGAAGTGATATCGGAAGGGTAGGTGAGTCCGCGGATATCCTTGTCGTCAAGCGGAGCCAATTCAAAACGCGTCTGGCGCAACCAGTCGGCCTGACTTAGCCTGCGTCGCGCTAATCACCGCTGCCACATCCCTCTCTATATAGGACCGAAGGTTTGCCATATCTAGAGCAGGATCAGCGCACTAGATCGACTTGGTTTTCTGAGATGGCGCCACAGTACAAGAAATAGAAGTGCAGTCTGTATACATATCAAATCTCTAATTGCAACTACTCGCGGCGATACTCACCTGAAAGCCATCTCGAGAGAGAACCAACGCCGCCGGCTTAAGACCCTCGCCGTGACACACCACAAGACGGTCGTAGGCGTCTTTAGTTGAGAATCCCATACCAAGGGCATTGATAGGGAGTCGCATACAAGCATTTGCGATAGTGATTCGACCAGTCCTTTTTTCGTACCGGATAAAACCTAGGGCGCGTCGATCGTCACTTTCCGCTAGCCGACCGGCAAGGTTACGGTCGGGAACAATAATTGAAAGACTACCACTGTAGTCTTCCAAGACTGGCTGGAAGCTCTAACGGTCAAGCTCGAATCTTTCTATAAGGGCATCTTTCCTGCGTAAATCAGCGCTTGTCCAGTGAAGGAGGCTTATACATACCAATTTTGATACAATTCTCGAAAAGCATTTGCTTGTGTCCAATCTTTCATGTAGCCGGGAAAAATTCCGAAAAACTACGCGCCGGGAGGATAGGCATATAACGAGGGGGGTTTTCTGACTTTCGAGTAGCTTATATTCAAGCTGCTCGTTTGCCAGGACTATAATGCTATCATCCTCGCAAGCGTCGGCGCTGTAATAGTGTGTCATTCTTGAAAATCAAGCTTGCGGATCGGGTGTGAATTGGGATTGGGAAGAATGCCAACCGGGGTAGGATAACACTATTTATGTTGTGCCTTCCTTCCGTATTGAAATCACATATCTACTAGAAATGTTGAGCAACAGTGCTCTCTCTATCAAAAAGAGACAGTTTAAGGATAAGAAGCGCTTGGCTCACTAACTTAAGACTTGGATGTCAGGATTAACCAGCGAACGCTGTCGACTTGTCTGCTATGAAATTGATGCTCGACGTTGACGGTGGGTCTCGCCTGTTACAGGCGCTGCCGTAGGCATTGGTGACAGCGTTGAGCCAATGCTTTCCTGGTGTCCAGTCAACAAAGAGTCAACATACTTGCAAGCTATTTAGATAGTATACTCTGTGACACCGCACTTACTAGTGACTTAACCGAGCCTGCAGACATACGTTCGCACAAGCGATTTCAGTCTAGGAGAGGAAAAATTGCTCAGCGGTTTATAGCATTGCATCTAAGTAGAGCGTTTCTGGCTCCGCTTAGTTTGACCTGCGTCCTGTCTATGTACAAAGTTAATGGACTGACTTCCATTCTTCTCACTCAGCCTGAAGCACAACACAGACTATTTGCTAGGAATAGGTAGGGCTAACATAGATGCTGGGCCATTCTAGAAGGGACATGAACACCAAAAAAGATTCTCCAGCTTTTTTCAGCCGTTCCTAACCTGACATTGGCCCCAGGAACCCAATGCTGCTTCCAGGAGCATGGTGAATTGTCGCGAGGAACAATCCTGTTGGGCTGTAGGAGCGCAACGGAGGCCAGGATTCGTCACGCAGACTCCGGGGAGCCTCGCCTACCCCTGGGAACATCTAACTAGTCTATTCCCTCACTGTTACCACATTAAGGGTTGCTCCGTGGCAAATATGTTTTATAAATAATCTCCGACCTTTCATAGATTTAGCTTAGGTATAGAAAGGCGACCTGAATATTTATTACTCTTGAGGATTTCCTACCGAATAAGTTACAGCTGGTTACCAGCATGAATAGCTTACTCTAAATTGGTACTGTATTGGCAGGTATTGTGAAATTTAATTCACCCAAGCTTCTCTGTTGTGTAGCTAGCACTGGTAAAATGTTGGAATTGAGGGCAATCAAAATATGTGGTATAGTCGGAAATCCCAACGCCGGGATGGCCACGTTGGCTAAAGCATGTGGAACCGTTCAACATCAACACATCAACACCATCAACACATCAACATCATCAACACCATCAACACCATCAACACCATCAACACCATCAACACCATCAACACCATCAACACCATCAACACCATCAACACCATCAACACCATCAACACCATCAACACCATCAACACCATCAACACCATCAACACCATCAACACCATCAACACCATCAACACCATCAACACCATCAACACCATCAACACCATCAACACCATCAACACCATCAACACGTCAACACCATCAACACCATCAACACGTCAACACCATCAACACGTCAACACCATCAACACGTCAACACCATCAACACTTCAACGCCATCAGTACCAGTATCAACACATGACCAATCTTTCCCCCTATTCATAATTGCGTGTGAAATAAATTAGACTGCAGTAGTCGGGTTTCTCACCTACTACTGTAAACGGAGGCTGTTGGCCCAATTCACTTGACACTTGACAAACAGGAAAAAAGTCATTCCTGCTGGCTACTTTATTATTCTGTTCACGTAGTCCGATGGATCAGAGCGGTAAATGGGATGATAATGGCTGTAAGCAATTGGAAAAGTAAAGTAGTGTACTCTGTATAGTTCAAATTAATATAGAGTAACTTCAGGCACTCGTCCTTAAAACATATTGAGCATAGTAAAATTACGTGAATTGACCTAATTGGTGCGACCTAAAAGGATGCCGGAGCCCCAAGTACTTCATAGCAAATGCTGGTGGCATTATGCCATGCTTAGATGGTTGGACCTTGGGCTATTGCAAAAGACCGCCTCACTATCGGCATGAGACGGGAGTACCTCGTGTTATCTCCAAGAGCATGTTATCTCGTTGGGCTGTATTCTGGTTGAGCAAGACTAGATACATTACCACGTAGGCTTTATGATGAAATCCCCTGCTGAATAATATTCAAAGACTTTGAAATGCCTTGGATTTTTCCATCACCCAAAGCGTGCCTGAAGATTCAATCACTAACGCTGTTGATCGTATTAAATAAGCCGTCTTTGCTCACAGACCCAGTGCACATAGTTCCAGAGCTTGGAAAATGATCGATTCTCTCGTCCATCGCGACTCGGTGAATATGATTCATGAGCTGCAAAAAGAATAAGCCTTGAACCAAAGAAAAAGTGAAGATCTTCTCATACCAGATAACGATGCTTCGGCCGACGGCGGTTCTTGACTCTTGACGCCGTCTGGCGCAACCTCAGGAATGTCATGGAGCCATCGTCTAACATTTCCGCAACTGATAGAATCACTGCTCGAAAGATTGCATCGTGTGTTGCTGGTGGCTCTCAGACGTCGGGATTTTCCCCGGCCCTTTGAGGTTGTCGCCCGCCGCGACGGTCTGACACGACCAAGGCGACTTTTTCGTAGGATATGATATTTCTTCCCTCGTAAGGATTCAACCGACCGTTTCACCCCAAATTGGTCCAAATAGGCATCAGAGCGAGCGATCCATGGCAGTTCGCTGTTCTCCTCTACCAGGGAAGAAGGTTATCTTCCTCCCGTTTAGACCATGGTGTTGCACTGCGCGAGTACATGGTGATAATCTTGATCCCGATGGTTGGAGGCTGGTTATGACAACAAATAGAGGGCAGGTAGGTAGGCTTTGTTGAGCTTTAATCCTCTCGTTTCGCATCATCTAATGCCCGCTCTATTTAGCAACGGAGCGCCGCACAATTAGGTAATATATTCCAGCTGTTTGTTTTAGGTCAACGAAATTGATTGACAGAACCCGTTTCAACGTTGATAACACAAGTAATTCTCATCGTTGCTAAAAAGAACCGGGGGGACGTACTCCAAACGCCTTTGCCATGGAGGTGGAGAATGTAACGTTAGATATACTTTGAGGTCGAACCATGGGACTGAGAACAAATCATTTGTCAAGTTGATAATTGAACATCTCAACGGTGAAACGAAGAGTTTCAAGTTAGTGCCATTCGACTTCATGCATACATAGCTCTGTGCCTTTGCTGTCCGATAGGACGAAGTGCACGTTGAGTTTGTGGGACCATCAACGTTGACCTGAGAAAACTTCAGACGGTCTTAAACTGATTACAACATGCGGTGCTGGAAATGGAAAGTTTGGAAAACCATGTGATTTTTGGCTACAACTCAATGGGCAAGAGTTGTGAATTAAAATCAAAAAAGTCAAACACTGTAGCTCGATTTAAAAATCTATATAATGGCCATCATCTGAACAACGTGAAACAAGAGCCACGCGACCTCTTCCCCGGTACTAGACGCCAACATAGGAGCAGTTCGAAAGTCTACGTATTCTGCACGACGGCCCGATTTTCGGAGACAACTACAACGTGCCCTGAGCCTGTCCTCTTTTGAAACAGAGGATACCCATAGTGCGTCAAAGTCATCCGCTAGTGACACTACCGAGGACCAGCTATCAATTCACTCGGAGAACGATGGATCTAGCGTGCAAAGCGGCAGTGTTGGTCGTAACCACGAGGCCCAGATTGATCCTGCGTTGTTTTCGACTGCTCGGGATGTGGAAAAGATTGAAGGTCAGAGAGATCTTCCTGAAGATCGCGACATGATTGCCTTGGAATGTGTTGCAGAGTGAGTATCACAGCCGTGACCTTTGAATTACTTGCGCTAAGATTGCATTTGGCAAAGGCTAGATGTCCGAATGAAGTAAGCCGACCTTGGGTGCATTATCTGAGGGAATTTGTGCGCTAAATGTTGACACAGGAATGTGGAATCCTCCATGAATAACCAAGAAAGCTTGAATGAATTGGTCCGCGGCGATTTGGCGAACATCCTCAGTCGCTTGGCTATTATGGAGGAGAAAATCAGCAAGGCTGACCCAGACGAGAGGCGGGCTTCGTCGGAAAATCGTCAGACCGAGCGAAGACGGGTTTCGAGGCGATGAACGAGACCTGTTTCAGTCGTCAGCCTTTTGCTGCTCCAGAGATTGACCTCAATAATTGTGACCTCGCTACTTTGTGATTATAAGGACTATCATACATTTTGGTTAAAAGACTGGTAAAAATCGATAGTTTAAGTGAATTGACGTTCTGAGTATGGCATTCGCCGATAGCTGATCTATAACAATATTGCGAACTCATGCACTGCATCTGGAACGCGAACCCTTGTAAAAAGGGGAAAGGATGGGGTATCCAGAGAACGGCGAGAAATGGAACAGGAGTGAGGAAACTGTATACCGTACCATAAAACTTTTACGGGATCGTAGATCCCGGCCGATCATGATTACTGTCGAAAGTTTGAAAGTATTTCGGGCACTTTGCCGGGCGGGGAAGTACGGAGGTTAATAAGGATCACGAGTGCAAAAACCCCAAATGGTGGCTTTTGACGGGCAGAATTCCCTCTTGGCCGTCATGCTTATACCAGTCTAGCCTTATCAGACCTAGTGTAATATGAAGTAACGTCTTTTTCTGCCCCATTCAGCTTTGGTCTTCGCAACGCTCACGAACAGGCCTACCGTCCTTTTGATTGGCCAACTTGTCTTCCTGCCCTTCGACTCATGAATGAACCATCGAACAAGCTGAATCCTTCTAAATACCATTCTTTTCGCAAAAGAAGCTCCTGTCTCCTCTTTCCGACTACGTCAAGACATGCAGATTGAAGTGGATTGAGTCTCAAAATCGCACCAAATACCACCAACCTTCCCCAGTCCTTCCACGCCGTCATACTGTCTTCTGCTAATTACCCCCTGTTTGCCCTCCAGGTCTCCGAGACAGGTCCTGACGCAGAGCACCGTAACAAGCTATGGACAGACTCCGGAGGGTCACTTAACTAATCCTCACAATCTTCTGTTGGAATCGGGAAGCTCAACGCGTTCCTATTGGGGGGCTAACTCCTAATACAGCTGACTACGTCGGGGCGCTAACCCGAATGGGAAGGGAGAATCCTAACATCTTCAGTCACAACACACACTCATGTGGATAATAAGTTTATCTACCGAGTTACCTCCGTCGATCCCACTTTTTTCCTGGACACTGATTGGCTATCCGAAGATCCCAAGAGCGTAGTGGCACTGCTGATCGGCTTATATTTGGATAGTGGGCCGAGATGCTGCATCGTGGCGCGGGAAACTAGCCTTCCTGGGCCTGTCCGGGCTCGTTATCCCACGCGCTAACGAGTTTCGTCGCAAGGCGGAGCACTGGATACTCATCCAATTGGTCATGGAGGAAGGCACGGCGGCGGAGTTCGAGGTATTGGTTGACTGACTTCTCCTGGTGCAAGTCCTCGGGATTGAAGCCATTTCCAGGTTCAGAAAGCTCAGCTCCAATCTGCTGGAGTTGCTGTTGACACCGAGGACGTCAGGGGGTAAATACTCATCTTTATCCCAGTCCCGGACATCCTCTCGTAGCTCCCGAAGTAGCATAATTTAAAACACTATTATTCCAGGCAAAAGGAAGAGCGTATGTAGATCTTGAGCCAGTCAGTGCGTTATTTCGATACTACTCCGTACAATACCCTGAAACGCGGCGGAATAGAGGACATGCGCGGGTAGAATATATATACGTCCAGGATTTCTCAAAGTAAACTTTCTACGTCGCACCAGTTGGTCAGAAGTGCCATTTAGGTTGTACAAGTTCCATATATTATCCGAAAGAGCTATGTTTTGGGAGATATCATGATATGAAGTTGCTATGCATGCATTTATTATTTCAAACGCCCGTGGGTTACGTTATTCCGACCAGGAACTTTGTACGCCTGTTGCACGCCATACGGCTAACCTAATTAGGGTAGGGCGAACAGGATAAATAACGGGCGGAAAAGGAGGCGGTATACAGATTGCCCAATAATATTGGATTTTGGGGTTTTTGCACTCGTGATCCCTATTAACCTCCGTAGTCGGCCTGACTTGGCCCGCGTCGCGCCGATCACCACTGCCACATCTCTCCCCACATGGTAACGTAGGCTTGCCATGTCTAGGGCAGGATCGGTCTACTCGATCGACTTGGTTTTCTGAGATGGCGCGACAGTACAAGAAACCGAAGTGGCGTCTGTGTGCATGTCAAACTTCCAATTGCAACCACTCGCGGCGATACTCACGTTGTACCTATCTCGATAGAGAACCAGGGCCGCCAGCTTGAGACCCTCGCCGTGACGTCCCACAAGATGGTCGTGGGCACCGTGGACATCTTTGGTTGAGAATCCCATAGCTAGAGCATTGATCGGTAGTTGCATGCATGGATTTGCGATCGTGATTCGACCGGTCTTTTTTTCGTACTGAATGAAACCCAGTGCGCGTCGATTCTCAATTTCTCACGCTCCGCTGGCTGGTCGGCAAGGTTCTGGTCGGGAACAATGATTGAGAGATGGTCACTGTGGTCTTCCAACAATGGCTGGAAGCTCTGACGATCAAGATTGAATCTTTCTATTATAGCGTCCTTCCTGCGTTGGTTAGCGTTTGTCTGGTGAAAGAGGTTGGCACGCACCAATTTTGATACAATTCCCGAAAACCATCTGCAGCATCCAGTCCTTCAAGTAGCTGGGGGAGATGCCGAGATACACCACGCGTCGCGGCGCTCGGTATGTAGCGAGAGTGGGTTTCTGACTCTGGAGCAGCTCGCGTTCAAGCTGCTCGTTCGCCTGAGCCATCAGGCTATCCTCCTCGGTAGCGTCGGTGCTGTGACTGGTTGTCATTCTTGAATATCCTGTAGGTGAATCAGAGTGAGTTGGTTTTGGGAAGAGAATTGACTGGAGAAGGGTGACAGTATTTATATTCTGGCTTCCGTATTGAACCCGCGAAATCTATTACAAATGTTAAGCAACGGTCATCTTTGTATCCTACAATAACAGTCTTATGATGAGGAGCAAGTGGCTCACTTCGTTGAGACTTGCATGTAGGATTGACAAGCGAACGTCCCAGGCGCTCAGTCGTTTGAAGTTGATGCTCAATGTTGACGGCGTGGCTCACGTGTTGGAGCTGATGCAATTGGCGTTCGCCCACTCCTTTCCTTGTGCCTGCTCAACATTGAGTCAACATGCAAAACATTTGTTCAGTGTGTACCTTGACACCGCATTTGCAAGTAACCCAAATGAGCCTGCAGAACTGTGGGCACACAAACGGTCTTGCTCTGGGATAAGCAAATTGCTCATGGTTTTCAGGAACACAGTAGCTCACCAAGGAGGAAACTTCTTGGCTCCACACAGTATGACCTACGCAATATTTACAAAGAGTAATAGACGGACTATCATTCTTCTCACTAAGCACGACGCGCAAGACGGGGAGTTGCTAGTGGTGTGTATGCCTTATGAAGCCTTTGGGCCGTTCTAGAAAGCGTATGGACTTCAGGGAGCCAAGCTTATTTGGCTCGTTTAACAGTTGCTAAAGTCAGCAGTGGTCCCAGGAATCCAATGCTGTTTCGAGGAGCAGGGTATATCGTCTCGCTGTATGTGCAACTATCTCGGCTTCAATCCTCCAAAGGTCTCCATCTCCTGCAGAAACTCGACATGCACGATCTTCGATTCGGACCCGATGCTCGACTGTTAACTGAGATGCAGAGACTCCAGGAACTCGAAAAGGAGACGATTGCTGATTGGCAAAAAACTTCAAAGATATGATGCCGTGCCCCACTGTAGGAGAATAATTCAATCACGTAGCATCTTTTTCGGCTTCAAACTAAGTGGTCATCATCTCCCGCAACGACTCAACACAAAAGACGTTCAATTCAAACCTAATACTCACGTGCCACACGAAATACCCGTAGCAACCTTTCCTGAGGGTCCCCGTCCCTTTAAATAATTCCACTTTAACTTTACGGATATATTTCTGCATCCCTGCTCATCCCTCCAATCACCCCTTACGCCACACGGTGCTATGCGACTTGTCTTGCATATAATTGCATCATCCTACATCGCGTAACTTTCCCGCCCCTTATCCGAACTAAGCGTTTCAACTTTCATGTTTTCTCTCAAATCCAATTCACTTTTCAGCCCGTTTCGTTTCAGGGCCACAGCGTGCGACAGCGCGCGTCACCAGTATTGCATCCTAACGCTCTGTTCTCTTTTGCTGCTCTGACTCTCCATGCTCTCTTCTGATTGCTGCCCCGTCTCTATACGCTCTCCTCTGATTGCTGCTCAGCTGCTTTCCATTCCTTCCTCCTTAGGCTTCATGCTTCCCATACTCGTATTCTACCTCTGTTGCTTTTCTCCTTATCTGGGGACCCCGGTCCACCTACCTATCTTGCTGCTTCTATCTTCCCATTAGGTCTCGATTGCTGTTCTCGCTCCATCGTAATAGAATAAGAGAATCACCTATTGTCATTTATTGCTCCACGATCTCCAGTTCCGACCTGATGTACGATAAGAATCCACAGAACCTCAACCCGGCCCAATGTTACTGTGCAGGCACTGTTGACGGCAATAATGCCATATTCCTGATTTCTGAGCATGAAGAGCAGACGGGACCCCCCGTCCCGATGATAGTAGGACACGGATAAAGAGTCATGGCCGAAGGGAAGGAACTTGAGGTCAATGACAACTGGCCAAACCTCCGCCAGTTGCCCACGGCCCCGCGGCGCCTCACAATTTCAGAACAGTCTGAGATGTGATGTGTCCATTTTGCCGATCAGAAAATGTAGGAAGTGTCGGTGTGGACGTAAGATGATGCAGACTTATCTGTGGGGCGTGTGTAGCCTTGGCGCTCACCCCTAAACAAGTAAACGTGAAGCACTCTTAGTGATGCACGCTAGACATATCCCATTTCAAAGTGCATCAAGTAATGCACTCGCCTCGCAATTCTGAAGGCCTACGCCACTGCAACTTTGATTCGTTGGCTCGTTTTTCATAATTTACGACAAATGAATATAGGACATCGTCGCTGGCACGTCTATTGGAATCTTTCCCCAACTCGCTATTAGTGATAATAGCATTTTGAAGAAAATCGGAATAGTCAATACCTTCATTGACAATGTCAACTAAACTTTATGTTGGGTAAGTGTTTCAATCTACGAGTAGACAATGTTCTCTGATCTTTCTCGATGGAAAGGAACCTCCACTGGGCTACCAACGACGATTCTTTACGAAATGCATTTTCTGAGTACGGTCAAGTTCTTGATGTGGTATGTATAGCTCATCACTGACTCACTATGCTCTTTAGCTGAAGTGTACAAGCAATATATGCTAACACTAAGTAGACCGTGATGCGCGATCGCGAAACAGGCCGGAGCAGAGGCTTTGGTTTTGTGACGTTCTTAGATGCACAAGAAGCAGATGCAGCTATCGCAGGACTCAACGATCAGGAGTAAGTGGCATGAATGCTCGAGACACCGAAAAAGGCTAATGACGTTTGCAGCCTTGATAGTCGACGGATCAGGGTGAACTTGGCGAATACCAGGCCTAGTGGCAGTGGTGGCAGGGAGTGGGTGGTTAGTTAGTAATCAAGTTTATTGACCCTGCCGAGCCCTATGGGCTATGAAAGACAATACGGTTTCATGAGCCTCAGTTCCTAAATACATCTTTTGATCGTTCGGATCCAGGATCCTCGAATTCCCTTTTCCTCGCCCCATTCCGCATATCTGCGCAGGGCATTCGAGTAGTACTCATCACAGAGTATTCCTCTAGAGCTACGATAACTGGCTAGAGGGGCCTGTAGTTTTCTATACGTTCGTGGCATTCTTCGCCACCTCAAGCTGGTTGTCTGGGGGAACTAGGTGCACTAGGAGTCTGAGGACCACGCTTGACAGAACTAGTAAAGTTCAAGCGTTTTATGGTGGATGTTGTGTCGGCGGCGGGAATCCAGCCGCTACGGACCCTCATGTCCTCCCGAGGTGGAGAAAGGAGTGGCTGCGGACCAACCAAATAATATCTCTCTTACTAATAACATCCCTCCCTGCGCGAAATACCCTCTACTCTAGTTGTGCTAGGCGGATGTAAACGCGACTGCGTGCGACCAGAGAAAAGTACGAACGGCGGGTATAATTCTTGCAGACCGCAAGATCATCAAGCGTCCAATTAATTACTGCCACATTTAACCCCTCATAAAAAGATGACGTTATAAGGTAGCTATGCGAATGAACGTAAGTGGGACAATGGCAACCATAAAAAGCCACCCCTACCCCACACCTATTGTCAAAAGTTGATTTCATCACAAAACCCTCGTCTAGTAGCAACCACCAAGCAAGTTTTCCGAACCACAAATTATGGGCTGCTTCAGCAGTAAGATATATACATCTTTCACATTCCTTCTCATCGCAGCCTCTGACCGCGTTAGATGACTCTGTCCAGGCAGAGGCCTACCGCCAAGTCAATGATTCATCCGATAATGCTGAACTTTCTGTTGAACTCCTCGGCGCTGCCGCGTCATACCAGGCGATGAAAGAATACGAAGATCACGTCGCGAGGAATGGTAGACTCCTCATCCTATCATACCGGTGAAAGCCAATAGGAGTAACTGTTTCCAGGAAAACCCGATTCCTATCCGGAGGCTAAAAGCCTTGCAGCCGCGTTTGTGGCGTCATCCCTTCAAAGGTTAATAGAAATAAAAGACCTCGACTGCTTTGACGCGAAGAAGGCACAAGGCGAGGCCGAAAACCACGTTGAGGGGTTCATAGCGGAAGATTACTTCTAGTCAGATTATGTTCAACTGCAAGACCTGAACTTGAGTCTTGATGGATTTACCATCATACATGCTCAGTGAATCACACCTGAAACTGCACTGTACTGCCCGACTTAGGATGAACATAATTGACATATCCATACAAATGTTCAAGTAGCTTTCTGGGCCTTTACCGAAATCAAGTGTTCGACCTTCACGCTATCACTCATCTTGGTCTGTTTCGTTTCAGGGTGTCAAAACAGTTTACTTACAGCTGCCTCCTATTGGTTCCCTTCGTCCCTCGCCTTTCTTTGTGTTCTGTATGTAATTACGGGGTTCCGAGACAACCCTTTCAAGTCACTCTCGAGTATCCCATGGATCCTCTAAGACACGGAGGAATTGGTCCCATCCACACATCAACTATGGACCAACTCTGCAGATGTTTATTTAACATGCCCTGAAACGAAGGAACGTAGTGAAAGGGTTTTACAACCCTGCGCGAGCTGCCCGCAACCCTTCGCTGCCCGCTCACTGCCAACATCTTCGTTTTTCTCGCTGCTAATTGGTGCGTTCTCGTGCCAAGGAATGCTCTTATTGACTGCCAATGCGCTCGTCTCGTTTGCTGCTGCGACTCTCCAGGCTCTCTTCCGATTGCTGCACTGTCTCTCCAGGCTCTCTTCTGATTGCTGCTCGCCTACTTTTCTTTCCTTCCTCCTTAAGCTTTGTGCTTCCCGAATTCGTATTCGGCCTCTGTTGCTTTTTCTCCGTGTCTAGGGATCCCGGTCTTTCCGCTAGTCTGGCAGTCGGTGGGCTTCCAGCCTTCTCGCCTTTCTATTATGATTCCGCCCTTATTTGTCCTGAGCATCCTGCAGATAGTACCATTATGCACTCGTGCGCACGGCGACGTGTTCGTCTTCTACTATATGAATGATCAACACGGATCTCTCTCGCTGGCCTCAACTTTTTCGTTCCGCTCCTCTCCCAGTGCGCCTCGGAACGGGTGCCGTTTGCTGGTTTCAAGTCATCTCTTCTCTAATGACATCTCTCCCTGCGCAACGTACTTTCTGCTCTGGTTGCGCCAGACCATGGCGCTCTACACAGTTTTGGTCCTGCGACAATTGCCGCAGGAGGGCCTCTCAACGGGCGGTCAGAGCCCGACAGCTTTCAGTTACTGTAGGCAGGAGGAATATTTTAACTGGGCCACCTCCGCCTCTAACTTCCCCTTCTGTTCCTGCCTTTTCGACGCTACATTTTTCGTGCTCTACATGTGCGCGCCCCTGCCGGTCGTCGTATCATAGGACCTGTAATCGCTGCCGCCAGGCAGCTACACGGAGGACGGTAGCATCGTACCAGGTACTGGGAGTGGTCCGTCCTTCTTATCTGCTGCATTTTTGACCCTGTCCAGCACACACTGCAGCCCGTTCGAGACCCTGGAACGTCTTTGCCTGCAGGGGGTTCTACTTTAAGGCCTCTGGCCCCAGTTCCGCACACGCCGCATCCTGTTCATGATCCTGGAGCATCCTTGCCCGCAAGGACATCTCCTTTGAGACCTCTAGCACCAGCTTTCCACGTACCAAGTCCTGTTAACGACAATTCTGTTCATGATACTGTAGCATCCTTGCCAGAATAGAGATCCCGTTTGCGGCCTCTGGCACCAGTTCCTCAAGCGCCGTTGGCTCCGCCTCCATCGTTCGATATTCTAAACGCTGCGCTTCGGCCCGTCCCTTTACCATTATATTCGAGAACAGGGCCGGGAACCCAGAGAGTGCTACTTCCTGCAGGTCCTTTGCCGGTGTCCTCCCTACAGCCGCCACGGATCTCACAAGCATCTCCCGTCACTATAGAGACAAGATACTATCCGAATCCTTTACAGGCCACGGTCAACAGGGAGAGAACGGTAGATTTGGAGAGGTTGCTGGCCAATTTAGATCGAGCGGTATGTTTCCTGCGTGCTGAGCTAGAGGCTCGTGCCGTCGCCTCCGATGCTTTTCCCCCGGACATCTCCTGTTCGCATATACGAGCATCCGTAGCCAGATATGAGGATGAGATTTCTGCGGCTGCGAAGAGATGCGTCTGTTGTTCGTGCGGGGAACTTGTCTCCGACACAGATATCTACCGCGCACATAATAAGGATCCTTCGCTGCTGTCACTGTTGGGGAGTTTTGATCCCTGCGGCCGACATAGTAACACTTGGAATCTGTGCTCGTCGTGCTATGCTTCGCTCAATCGAAATATAATCCCTAAGTTCTCTGCGAAGAACCTTGTGAATGTGACTCGGTGCCAGGACTATCCGTCTGCTCTAGAAGGCCTCACTCTGACGGAAGAATGTCTTATCGCAAAGTGCCATCCTCTCGGTGTCGTTTTGAAACTACGACCGGGTAGCCGCTCCTCGCCAATCAACTACCATACTCTCCGTGGCCATTTCATTGTCATTCCACAGGACCCAGAACCACTGCTCGAGATCCTACCAAGCCCGGAGTTAACGTTACATAGTCTGATCAAGGTGTTCTGGTTGGGTCGTCGACCTCCCGTAGATTCCGACCTGAGTCAATTCCTACTCGTACGGAGGGCGAAGGTTCTGGCAGCCTTGGAGTACCTTGTCCAACATAACCACCTCTACCGTAACACCACAATTAACCGTCCCATAATCGATGACTAGGGCGATAACTTTATCCCGCCGGACCTGCGGGATACCATCATCTATCTCGACGAGCCGGATCACCACGAGCGCGAAGGTTACACGGTAAATCTGCAGACAGGGAACTACGAGAACGATCTTCAGGCTACCCAGGATAGTGCATTCGGCGCGAGTGGCAGTAGCTCTTTCAATACCGGCTCTGTCGCCACGGACATAAACAGAGAACGTCAAGACCTGGATCGCCGCGTTTTGGACGCATTGTTCACCGTCGTTACGAACCAACCGGCCCTATCCAGTAAGAATACCTCAGCCAGAGAACGTACAAGAGGCACGCAGCCCCTTAACTATCGAAAGATACCACTAATCTCTTACACAATCCGTAGCTAAACCACCCTGGTAAATCACTAGACGGACCCTCGTTACTTTACCGCCGCGTTTCCAACCTTGTTTCCGAGAGGCATTAGGGGCTATCTCGATGAACGAACTGTCCCGGTGTCAATTGGAGCTTTTGCCGAGTGGGCTTTGCGTTACTACAGTAGAAGGTGCGTGGCTTTCCTTGAAAAAAAAATATCTATATAGATACTGATCTTTGTCTTTCCTTATTCCTGTAGGTTCGCACGCCACAAAACGTTCATGTACCTGCTATATGATGTGATCCAACTCCGAAAGTCGTCGCTAGGGAACACATTCCTCATTAAACAGCAGAATTGGCAGTCGGCATTGGACGATATCGCCTCTCTAACAGTGACCCAACTCCAGAATGCAGCGAAGACCATCGAAAGCGGCCAGAAGATTAAGGATCCGGTCATCCGACGACTGCTACGAAATATCGAGACTGTCGGGATACAAGTTCCGGGATCCTTCGCCCAGAAACTAAGAATGCGTTCTGAAATTCGAGGACTGATTGCACGGTATGGCATACCCGCTTTCTGGATCACTATCAACCCCTCTGACCTACGGAATCCTTTAGTCCTGATCCTGGCCGGCGTAGAGTACTCTAGGGACAACTTAGCCGCGGCAAATACGGCTATCCGTAAGGCCGCTGCTACCTCTAATCCGGTGGCAGTCGCTGAGTTTTTCTATCAAGTCTGTAAAGCTATCCTGGATAGCCTTCTCGCTACTAATACTGACTAGATCGGTATCCTTGGCGATCTCTCGAACCATTTTGCTGTTGTCGAGACGAATAGTCGAGGTATGTTATATCTCCACGGATTAGCATAGGCGCGAGGAAACCTGGCTTTCACTACTTTGCGAGATCGGCTCCTCCAGGATAGCGACTTTGCGGCTCGCATAATTCGCTACTTAGAGTCAATCATTACCCAAGGCGTTGATAAGAGTATTTTGCGAGACCCTAAAGTGAACCTGCCCGGCATGCCACCGTCAGCCAAAGACTTTGAATCCGATAAAGACTTCTATCTTCGACTATCGTATAACAGCAATTGTGTCGCTCGTAAAACACAAATCCATTCGAAACACCATCTCACCACATACTTCAAGTACCGGCAAACGGGACCCGGAAAGAATGCTTGTCGATTTAGCATACCTCGAGATCTAGTCCCTGCTTCTAAGATAGATAATTTTGGACTGATTCACCTCGCTCGAAACCATACCTAGATAAACCCGTGGAACCCCGCCATTACTAGTTGTGTTCGTTCTAATCAAGACATCTCTTGGATTCCGACGGTCTCCAAGTCTTTGTCGCTGATCTATTACATCACCAACTACGCCACGAAAGATAACGTCTCTCCCTAGCAGATAGTTACCAAAGCGGCTTTGTTAAAGCAATCTATTGAGAATACAAAGGTTGCTGAGCCACCAACAGCGACAGATCTCCGACTTCGAGAAAAAGGTGTCAATAATTTTGCACTACGCTGCTTTAATGCCCTCTCTCATAACCGAGAGATCAGTAGTGTGCAGGTCGCCAGCGTCTTGCTTCAGCTACCAACCTATTACACGATCAACTACAACTTCGTCCGTATCAACCTCTGGTGGCTAAGGCGTTATATTCGGGCAATCATTCAGCCAGATAACCTTAAAAGCGGCCCCTCTTCTGATCCCATAGCAGAAGAACCTTGCACGTATAAAACGGGCGACACCGGCCCCGTAAGCATCTTTAACAATTATAAGTAGCGTAAACCGCACCTGGCTCCTCTTTCATTATTTGAATACTACATACTTATAAAGACTAAGAATATACGCGATGCTGTTGCGGATAACGTAGACTTCGAACCAAACCATCCTAGATATAGCACGCATGTACAGCACTTAGCGCGCACACCGTCCCAGGTGGCCACCGTGACTTTCAATGGACAGCTAACGGAGTTCCAGGCCGCAGAAGACGCGATTCCGGGAGGCCATCCGAAAACGACTGCGATTATAAATGACATAGCTAAGA